AAAAAAAAAAAAAAAAGCTTATAGATATAGAGAACAGACTGGTGATTGCCAGAGGGAGGGGGTGGAGGGGGTGGGTAAAATAGGTAAAGGGGTTCAAAAGGTACAAACTTCAGGTTATAAAATACATAAATCCTGGGGATGTAACGAGCAGCCTGGTGACAACAGATAATAATAATGCACAGATGCTAAAAGAATACATCTTAAAAGTTCTCCTCACAAGAACAAATTTTGTAACTATGGATGGTGATGGATGTTAACCAGACCTACCATGGTGATCATTTTGCAATGCATACAAACATTGAATCATTATGTTGTACACCTAAAAGTAATATAATGTTATAGGTCAACTATACATCAAAAAAATGGGGGGGGGGGCAGAATGCCAACTGGTAAATATGGAGGAAGTGCTAGAGTAAAGAAATCATCATTTTGCAACCATCATAGTCTTAGCTTGGTTTACAAAAGCATCATGAAAAGATGCTCCATTTGGAGTGGGGGGTTCTGATAAGAGTACATTTGCATAATCTTGAAGTGATTCTCCATAGATTACATATTCCTGGAAATGAAAAGAATGTTCACTGGACAGGGGAAAAGTCAAGCAATACCTGGAGTGGCTGATCAAAATTATCACCAAAAAGGGACAGATGGATAGCGTATATGACCCAGAAGGGCATATTACTTATTACTATTCTGACTTCGGATGCGTAACCTTAATGAGAAATCATCAGACAGACCCAAAATGGAGAACATTCTTATTTTTAAAAAGAGGGGAGGTATGTCTTCTTCAAAAGTATCAACGTCATAAAAGGAAAAGGCTGAAGGTGAAAAGACCCTAAGAGCCATGACAACTAAGTGTTAACATGTGACCCTAAAATGGAACTGAGTACAAGAGGGGGAAACCAGTGCTAGCAAGGACAGTACTGGGTCAAGTGACAAAATTGGGTATGGATGGTAGATTAAAATATAGAATCAATGTTAAACTTCTTTTTTTTTTTTTTAATATTTTAATGTTTATTTATTTTTGAGAGAGAGAGAAGAGAGCCAGAGAGACAGAGCATGAGCGGGGGAGGGCAGAGAGAGAGGGAGACACAGAATCTGAAGCAGAACAGAATTCTGTCAGCACAGAGTCTGATGCAGGCTCTAACTCATGAACTTTGAGACCATGACCTGAGCCAAAGTCGGACACTTAACGGACTGGGCCACCCGGGTGCCCCAATGATAAATGTCTTGAAGTTAGTAATTGTCCTGTGGTTATGTAAGAAAATTCCTTTACTTTTTAGGAAGTACACGCAGAAGTATTTGGGCATAAAAGAACAACAGTGTGGTATACGGAACTTTCAAAAGGCTTGGAAAAAAACGGAGATAGTAATGATAGGTGAAATTAAAGGATGTAAGGGTATTTATTCTCTGTATGAGTCTTGAAATTTGCCAGTTTTAAATTATTTCCAAATTAAAAAAACATTTTTTTAAGTTCTTTGGCTACCGTTACCTATCAAAGAACTAAGAGATGTGCATACCAATTTGTACGGGATAGGCTTCCAAAAAGTAGAGTAATTAAGAGCATAGGCCTCTCAGTTAAGACAAACTTGGCTTCAAATCTAGCTCTGACCCTCTAAGCTGACCTGACCTCAAGATGCCTCGATTTCTTCACCTGTAAAATGGGGAAAATAACGTTGACCTCATAAATTATTCTGAAGGTTAATGAGTTCAGGGCGCGTATCACAACACCTAGCATATAGTTAGTCATCATTCCACAGTGCTACTTGCTATTTCAATAGGTTAGCAGTCGTGGTACTCAGTTAGCACTTGTGGTGACGGTCATTGTTGCTAGTAGGCCACAGAGGCCAAAGATGACCAAAATATGGTTTCTGACCTCAAATGACTTCAAAAGAAACAGAGTTGAACCACAAGCCACCGTGGGTGACGTAACTGCACACAAAATGTTACCGCAGCGGAAACAAGCGTATTTGCTTCTTCTGGGGGGTGGACTGGAAAGGACATCGCAGGGAAGGTGACGGTCAAGGTGAGCAGTAGAGGGTAAGGTTAGGATTTCACCAGGTGGACACAAGGGTGAGGTTAGGGCATTCCGAGGTCAGTTACCTACCGAGGTAACAGGTAGGCCTCAGGCACTCAGGGCTTGGGTGGGAAAGAATGGAGGCAGAGGGAAGTGCAGGTGGGGCTGGAAAAAGTACATCCGGGCCACAGCTGTGGAGGGTAAAGGGCCTTGAATGTAACACCCTAAGTGGGTTTCACGGTTTCCAGTGTGCAGTGGGAGAATCGGGGGAGGTTTTGAGTGAGGGGTGACGTGACTGGATGGTTGTCATAGAAAAAATACTACCTGGCAGGAGCTCGGAACGTTAATCCAGTAATCATGCCTTCAAATGGAAACTCTTAAGGGAAGGCCAAGCAAATAGCCCCTTCGTGTCTCTTCTGTTTTTGGCACGTCCTGCCCAAAGGGTGATAATCAAAACAGTCAGCAACAGGTAAGACTGGCTGATGCCATGGTGCACACACACA